ACAAATTAAGATTTTTAGTTTTTAAATCAAGAATTAAAATAGTCACTTCAAATACTTTTTATATTTTTTATCAAAACTTTATTTTTAGTTTTAAAATTTTAAAATTTTGAATAATACCAAATTTTTTAATTTTTTACATGCTGTTAATGTGTATATAAATTGAGTGAAAGTTTATTAAATAGAGTGAAAATACTAAAAAACGAAAGGTTCAAGTTTTTTATAGTCTTTTTATTCTTCAATTATATGAAATTCTAAATTTTCTATTAGTTTTAATGAACAATTAAAGATATAGCGCATTTTTTATAATTTTGGGAGGTTATGAGATCAAATTAAAAATTTTGGGTGTAAAGTGTTAAAAATATTTATTTTAAGGTGTAAAGTGCTAAATTTAAAATTATATAATACAAAGTACAAAAATCTCTTATTTTGAAAGTGCAAAGTACAAATCAGTCACGTCTTAACATGTGACGGAATGCCTTGAAGGTTTGTTCGCGTTTATCCAACACTGTAGACATCCAAATAGCTAGGTGTTCCTAATTCTATAGGATGCACTTTAAAACAAGGTTAGAAAAATCAGACTGTTCATCGAATCAGAAAAATTATCAGTTCACAGTTCACTAGTTCAATTGTCAATTGAACCGTAATTGAACTGGTAACATCATAATTATATAATTTATATAAATAATATTATAAAAAAATAAAAAATAAACAACATTCAAGCAAACTATTATAATGCATATAAAATAACATTGACAAGGGGATTTAATTAGTAAAGATCCTAAGGATCATTTCACACTTGAGGAATCCGTCCATACAAAACCGGTAACAAATAAAAAATCGAAACCATCAAATGGACCTGAATCAAATTTGCATTCTAGGATTGCCTAAATTGGGAAATAGCTCTCCACTTTTTCAATTGAGTCATTTTTATACAAAATTTTACATGCAAAAAAAAAGGTAAAGTCAAAATAGAATATGTAAAAAAATCAAGATTTCTTAAAACAATCAAGACATATCAAGACAGTAATCCTTGTTCTAAACCCAATTGAATGCATATCAAGAATCACTTTCTTGGCACTCGGGCCACGCACAACTAGCATATCCAATTCATTGCAGAAGGAAAGCAGACAAAATAGAGTCCAAAAGTAGAGTCAAACTGATAGAGAAGCAAAGCAAAATCGCAGAAAAAAAGTAGCTACGGCCGTCAAGAGAAACAATAGTGAAGGCTGCTATATCGTCAATTAAAAATTAGAGCCAAAAAAAACACAAGTAAACAAAAAACTACAATACCTTGGTCTGTTTTGCAGAAGAAAACCTTGGTCTGTTTGAAGAGAGAGGAACCGTCAATTTGAAGGGAGAGCACCCAACTCCGATTGACGACGGCGTCACTACGTTAGGCACCACGGCGTCAATAGCAAGGCGATGATGGGGCTTTGTTTACGATGGCAGTAGGGGAAGAAAGGTTTAAGAATTTTGCCTCTCTCTCAATCGGTCTGTCCTCTGTCGTTGGTGAAGAAAGAGATATGAGAGAAATTTAAACAAAAAAAAAAGAACACAAACTATCCAGTTCATGAAAACCGCAACCGATTTACCGGTTCAAGCGGTTTTGTAGACATAAAGTGGTTTTTTACACTGTCTCGATTTTTTATGAAAATCGGACCAATCAGCGGTCCAACCAGTCCAATCGGCCGGTCCGGTCCGATTTTAAAAACCATGCTTTAAAGGAAATCCGTTCCAAAACTATTTGAGTCCAATGGAATTTAGGCTTCAAATAATCATAATTTGGGTTATTCTTATTCCCCTTAGAAAGTCCATTTAAAAAAAAAATAAAGGAAATATTGAATTTAAAAGCTTAATTATAATAGAAAACTATTTAAGTGAATTAAATAAAAAGAGCTAGATCATAAAGGGATAACAACTTTGCTGTTGATCTAAAATCTAGTCATTCATCACAAATAAACAATGCGTTAACGTGGAGAGCAATTTTAGTTTTGAGACAAATTTTCTTTTTGCATGTGAATTTTTAGTATATTTTAGCATGTTGAAATGTTATGTGAAAGTGAATGTACAGAAAAAAGAAAACAGAATTTAATGGATAAAAGTTTTTAGTTTGGAGGAAATATATTTTCTTTTTTTTTAGGTGAATTTTTAATATATTTTAAAATGTTAAAAAAGACTAAAATCCTATTTAACTGATATAAAATTAGGCATATATATGGTCTTAAATTCGAATTATCCTTTTTAAAAATAAATTAGATGTCAACCATTGTTGGGAAAAAAATAAGGGAGATGAAAAATGAATGTTACAAAATGAAAAAAGGAACACAGAATTAATTACCTAAAATTTGATTCCAAGTGGGGTGGCCCATGCAGGTCTCGAACCTGCGACCTTCGCGTTATTAGCACGACGCTCTAACCAACTGAGCTAATAGGCCCGTTGGTAACATGTGGATGTTATATTTATTGAATCAAAATTTTCAGGCGCAAATATCCCTAACCAACGCCGCGAGGGAAGAGCGGAAGCTGAAGATCATTCGGAGCTTTGATCAACATCATGAAAGAAGACTACGAGGTAAATATTCCGCACTATTTTCCTTACGAATCGATTTTTCTTTTTTATGATCGATCAAACCGTTCTTTATTTTGGGGCCACTTTTTTAATCCCTCGTCTTCTTACTGTATTATGAATGTCAATGTGAGCACACTTGCGAGGTTTTCACTTAATCTTGTAAACAAAGTAGTATTTATTAATAGGAGTCATTTCTGGACGTTCTTTACGAACTGCATGCAACCCTGGATTTTGCTAACGACTCTGCAGGTTCAACTGATTTTTAAAAATTGGAATAATTGAGTTGATTTGATAGCTTTTGCATTTCTAGAGCATATCTATTAATGCATAGGGAAAATTTGTTATTAATTTTCGTGTTTATTGGTCACTGGCAGTTCTATAGAATATATATGGAGAAATTCACCAAACTGGTGTTCATTTAAAAAAGACAGTCCATAATTGTCTGCTGTAAGAACTCTTTTGCTACCCAGGTTGTTGGTTACCAGAAAATGTGTTCTAGAAAACAATACTTGAAAGTTTAAACTTTTGCAGGTAGGTGGTAGTAGTATACAACTATGTTGCCTCATGTGCAGTCTGTTCCTTATCTGGTAGGGTTTTGATAGGATAGGGATAATCTCTGTACAGTCTGTTGCATCAGAGTCTAATCATTTCAGATAAACTTGCTTTTTGATAATTAGCCGATAAAACATGCCCTTTTTCATATAATCTTATAAAAATAGACTTGTAGGAATTTGATAACAGATTTATTTATGCCCATGTTGTCAAAATCCATTTTCCGTATATTTAAATTATTAGACTTGATCTAATGATACTTTTAATGAGAATTAGTAGAATAGCAAAATTTTGATTACTTTGGAGTGCTATATCTATAATTCTGGAATGGTGGTTTACCATTTTAATTATCAAAAAGATAATTGGTTAGGGTGTTGATGATTTCTAATAATATTGGTGCAAATTGCTGAGACTGAGTTAGAAGAATCCCTATCATCACATAATTGAGGCGTCTTGGATTTGTCGCTGGAAGCATGACTCCAGGTCAAAGCATGATTTCATACCCAAAATCGTTCATTCATCACTGTGGATTATGTTTTTGAGGTTTTGTGTTGAGAATGGAACTTGCATTAAGTTACACTTCAAAACATGTATTTGGGGCTTTAACATAATAAACAGGTAGTAGTTTATAATTTGATAGACCTGTTAAGATAAGATGCGCTGATTAAATCTGTATATTAACACCCTTGTGTATGCCTTTCTTAAGAAAATGACAATGCCAAATTCATTCGTATACATCCTCTTTTACAAATAAAAGGGGGAGGGAGGGTGGGGGGAATCAGGACAAGGTCAAATATTGAATTTGGGGATCAATCCAACCAATAATGTATGAACTGGACCAAATGTCCTTTGCTTCTCTTGCAGGAGAGAAAACTAAATAAACTACAGTAAAATGCATTTATTGAAATTGGAGATGTTTCTCTAGTTTTGTTTAGGATCAACTTGATCAGAATCTTTGAAGGGTTAACTCTGGAGAACATTACTTAGTCCAAGTGGAGTCTCTCGAACAAGGGAATTTTGAATTTTGTTCTTCCATAGCTCCACATTACATGGCAGAAACGAAGCTGATAGTGAAATTTAAGGTAAATAATATCACATTAATTAGACTTGGTCCTCATTGACATGGGAGAAGTGAAGCTGATTATGAAATTTGAGGTCATGTTCAAATAATATTGCACAAGGAAAAGTAAAAGGATTATCCATACCAATATGATGCATATATTTCATGAGCATTGAATTTTCGAAGTGCCATCTTCTGCAGCATGTTCACTCAGGTGATATGGGACCACTTAGAAAAATTGGGGGACAATCCAGTTAGCGGGGGATGATTAGACCTGCAAATGCCTCTGTTATTTAATAGAGAAAAAAAATTATCAGCACAAAGAAAAATTAGTAAAACACATACTTTGTGATGAGGAACATTTTTTTTGTTCCATCTTCTCTATTATATCCATATGGATGAACAAATTTGTCGGTAAATTTGGTAGAATTTATGCTTCTCTTGGTACTGTCTGCCAATTATGGAAATTACAAACAGATATTATTCACACTTTGGACATCCTTGGCATCTCACATATATGTTTTGGAGATGTAGGCAGTTTTTAGAAACAATTAACTACCATGTTAGGTTCCATAGAATGCAGTATAATTTGTGTGTTGACAACATTGCTGCTGTTTATCCTCTATTCTTATTCATTCTAGTAAAAGACACATTATTCTTGAAAATCCGTATCCCGGACCAGAAAGTTGATTAGATGATCTAAAGCTGAATAATGTACCATACCTCCAAAAATGAGAAATCCCCATTTGGTTGCATTAAGAAACATATGTCTTAGTTTTATCTGTAATAATTATTTTTCCTTTTTAAATTTGAAAATTAATGCAGGTTGAAGAAAAGAAGCAAGCTGCAGCTGATGTTTTATTCCAGTATTCAAAATTTGTGATGGCATGCGTGGGGAATCAAGTTCGACCCTGCGACTTGAGGTTACATTTGATGAAGGTAATGCTGATTTTCTCACTAACTGTTCAGAGTGTGCAATTATATGCTTTTATTTCCAGCTCCAGTCATTCTGTTAAAAATTTGCTGAAGCTTGACCTATTAAGTTTTCTGTAGAATCAGAATTGACTAGTGAGACTGACAATAAAGACAACAAATTTTTATATCATGAAAAGCCAAGCGCTTGCCTTTCTTTTGGATAGTCCTAATTCTGAAGGATATAAGAATGAAAAGGCTACAAATGCATGGCATTATACTCTTCCTCTCAAGTCAGCCAGCATTTTTTTGCTTTACCTCAAAAGCATTGAAATGAATTATCCCAGTCTATCCATGTTAATTTATTTTCATTACTTCTTTGATTTGAAAGTTTGAAGTGTTTGCGTTGTATGCAAGTTGTATTACCATTTTTTTAATTATTTGAACAATCACCAGGAGATTTCAGGTTTGCAGACCTCCCTAAAAAGGGAGCCCTCATCACAAATGGATGCTTCTCCTGATGCAATGGGTGAGTCATCAAGCTCAGGTACTGCCAGACTCGACAAAGCAGACAGTTTTCGGGCACTGTAGTGTAAGGCTATTTGCTGGATGATATGCATGCTACCGGCACTGTGTTGCTCTGTTTCACCTTTTTTTTTTTTTTTTTTTTCGCTTTGATGACTCTAAGGTGTTTCTGGTTTTCTTTGCTTAGATTAATGTTATGTTCTGTAGCATATCATGAATAACTAAAATTTCTTTTCAAGAATATACGCCTTTAGCTGTTTCAAAATTGTTTTCAGTTGAACTACTGTTCGTATGCAATGGTTCCCCCAACTTATTGACTTCTTGTTCAATTTGGTTCTCAGACTTTTGTTTGGTTCAAGTCAGTCCCTAATCTGTTATTATAAGTCAGTCCCTAATTTGTTATTATAAGCACATTGAGGGATTCAAAAAATGCTTTTTGTACTTTACACCTTGAAAATAGGTGTTTTGGATACTTTACATCTCAAAATTATAAATTTGGTACTTAACACTCCAACATTATAAAAAGTACACCATATGTTTAATTGTCCATTAAAACTAAAAGTAAATTTGAAATTTCATATAAATGCAGAATAAAAAGATTATAAAAGAACTTAAACTTTTTATTTTTTGTTATTTTTACTCTATTTAATAAATTTTTACTCAATTTACACAAGCATTAATGACTTGTAAAAGATTAAGAAATTTGATATTGTTCAAAATTTTAAAACTAAAAATAAAGTTTTGATATAACAAATTTTTAAAATAAAAATTTAATCCATAGAAATCTTATATATATTTGACTTTTAGCTATGCCAACAATGAACAGAAAGACAAAAATCCATTCCTAAAAATAAAAAATATTGAAACTCAAATTATTCTATTAATAATTATTCATGTTTAAGTATCATTCTCTTTAATTTTATCAAATTATTTCCTCCATAGTTTTATCAGAATAATGTATAATACTATATTTTTCTATCTCAATCTTTATTCTTTTTCTAATTTTATCAAAAGAATCTCTGAGTGGAAAATAAATTTATTTAGATAATTGATTGTCAAATGTATTGCAGGTTTCCTTGCAGCATTTGTATAATAAAAATATCTAGACACTTAGACTGTAAAATTGTTTATGTTTTTTATCAAAATTTTATTTTTAGTTCTAAAATTTTAAAATTTTAAATAGGATCAAATTTTTTAATCTTTTATAAGCTATTAATGTGTGTGTAAGTTAAGTTAGAAGTTTATTAAATAAAGTGGAATTGACAAAAAATATAGAGTTCAAATCCTTAATAATTTTTTAACTCTTTATTTATATGAAGTTTCAAATTTACTATTAATTTTAATAGGTAATCAATATATGGTGTATTTTTGTGTAATATTAAATATTATGTGTCAAATTTATAATTTTGAGGATTTTCAAGGTGCAAAATACTGAAAAAACCTTAAAAAAATGTTTAATTTTGGCAGCACTATCAATGAGACGGAAGTAAACATAGCATTCCACCTCGGTTGTCTTCTCCTAGTTTAAGTCTCTTCATTCCCTTTACCTGTTGCTTTTCTTACACGCCTCTGTCCGCCTCCAACCTTGTCAGCTTATCTCTCTCTTCAACCGCTGCAAATAGCATACCATGCCCTGATTTTTTTTGAAAAAAAAAATTTGGCCCCTTGAGCATGGACTGAAGCCGAGTATAAACGCCAATGGTGATTAGGAATAAGGTGATTGTGGCATTTGACAAGAATTTTTCTCGTTCCTCGGGAACCTTCAGGAGTCCATTAACCTTTCCTGCAGTAATCTGCTCATCTTCGTAGCCCTCTGCCCCGTGCAACTTCTCTAGTTCCTTAGGAGCCTTTAGGAGTCCATTAACCTTTTCTACAATCATTTGCTCGTCTTCATGGCCTAGCCCTCTCCCCTGCACAATGTAGTCGCTGGCAAGGTTTTTGAACTTCTGTTTTTAGTGGAGACCCAAGTAGCAGGAGATCCTTGGGGAAAGCCGTTGGGTGCTGATTTAAAAGAGGATCCAATTTTGGTTGTATAAATTGCTGTTTTGCAGATCTTAAGCTAATGGGTCATCGGCAAATACCCCATGGATCTCGCAATCTTGTCAGACAAGTGATTAAAGAAGATAAAGAATAGTGGGGGACGGATTTCAGTTCAAATGTCGTCTGCCAACCAATCCCTTCAACTAGTTTGAAAAAATTTCAAGATGTGCTTGCTAATTTCAGTTCATAAAAAATGGATTTAATCCCTCCAATGTCTTCAAAAATGATTCAGAAATTAAATTATTTGATAAACCAAGGTTCTAAATACCTATTGATAGAAATCAGTCAGATTATAAAAAGTGAAGTTTTTTCTTATTTCTTTAATTTTTTGGTAACAAAGTTTTTTCTTGATAGTTGATTAGGGATTAAGTCGTATAACATTGTGGCTGTGGAAATTGAGTCATCGGAGATAAATGGGTGCCAAGATTGATCATCAGGAGTGCGTGGATGGATAGGAATAGTGTTAGTGCGTGGATGGATAGGAATAGTGTTAGTGTAACAGCGTCATCCATGGTCATAATGAGGTAAGATCTATACCTAATATACATATAAAAACTCCACGTCATTAGAAGAAAATGTGGCATTACTTTTAAGTGCAATATAAAAAAAATTACTAAATATGTTGAGATTTGGAAGGAGGAAAGATTATATGAGAGGAATGCTTCTCCAATTCAACTAATCGGTTAATTAATATCATTTAGTATAATTTAATTTTTTTCTAAATGCCACTCATCAATGTTAACAAATGGTGTTATAAAATGTACTTAAATAATAAAAGCTTGCAGATCAAATTGAAACAAATAAAATAAGTTGGATATTATTCCAATTTGAAAACTAATCGGTTAATTAATATCATTTAGTATAATTTAATTTTTTCTAAATGCCACTCATCAATGTTAACAAATGATGTTATAAAATGTACTTAAATAATAAAAGCTTACAGATCAAATTGAAACAAATAAAATAAGTTGGATATTATTCCAATTTGAAAACATGTGGGCTTTTCACAATGCATGTTTTCGGATCATTATTTCAGCTCTATATGAGCACAAGAGAAGAATAATGCAACAACTTAGAGAAGACTAACTAACTTACCCTCTGCCAATAACTAATGAATTGAGGAGAACAAGTTCATCTCCTACCTAAAAGAAGCAATAAATTATGCTGCTTGATCAGGCCTTTGGACTCAATGCAACTGTTATATCTTGAAAAACCTTGAGCCTCTTTTCGTCCGTCTTTCTCATCTCCAGCACCTTTCCATTCCCACTTACATCACTTGAACCCAGAACTGCTGCAATAATAGCCTCTTCAAACTCTTCGCTGTCCGGCAGCACCTCCGCCCACCACTCTCCCTTCCCCTCCGGAGAACCTGATCGCCTTCTTGCTTTCTTCTCTGGCTCAGGCTCCAGCTCCTCCGCAATTGGTTTCCTCAGCTCCCCAGTTTCTTTAACTCGAATAAAGTTCCTCTCATTGCCAGACCGAGTTCTCTTCAGGGTCTCGTGAAATTGGTTGAATTTTGAAGAGTAAAATGGTCGGGCATCGATGTTCAGCGCGTTATTCCCTAGAATAGCCACTTGTTTGACACTTCTTTGCCCGGGAAAAACCACCGGCTTTGCAGGAATTATATTTGAATTGACGTTCTCGTCCCCAAATTCATCCTGGAGCTTGAATGAATTTGTCTTGAATGAATTTGCATTTGATACTGTGAGTTGTTGTTGTTCCCTGCAAGGCTGAGGTTGCCAAATGGAGGAAGAGCCCAAAAGGGCGTCAAAAAGCCTGCTCTGTTCGACCCGATCGCCCCCGCCCATGTTCATCATTTCGGACTCCAAGTCCCGGAGCATTTGCTGCGCCCTCTCGTAGGCCTTGTGGTGAGAGTCGGTGCCTCTTGGACCATCCACCACCGCTGCGGCTTCACCTGTCGGAGGTGTCCTTGGCCTCGCGGATTCTCCCTGCTTCATCAAGCAAATACCTAAATTACACATCTTGTTATTGTCCGGTGCAATCAACAGCGCCCTTCGATAAGCTTCCTCTGCTTCTATATAGTTGTTCTGCTGCATCAGAGCCCATCCCAAGTTCCCCTGCCAAAAGAAATTAAAATTAAAATTAAAACGGCGTCTTTTTGGTGGCAAAAAAATAAAATAAAATAAAATAACTGGCGTGGAATGATAATATTATCGCTGATAATTTTGCTCGTCACAGAACAAGATAATATTACAGGGAAGATGATCTCTGTCATTACCAGCAACCGCGTTGCTTCTTGCTCCACAGAGACCTGAAATTTCTTCCCCTGGGATCGCGCCGTCTTGGTGCGCTTGCCATTGAAAGCCATTCCTTGTTGAATCAAGAACAGTTTGTGCTTTAGAAGTGCAACTTGGTCATCCAGTCTTCCACATCTCTGTAAGATATTCATTAAGTATCGAATTTTGTAATTAACGGTTTTGATTATCAATGGCAGAAAAATTGAAATATACCTTGTAAAGGTCCAGGAGGATGTTATCAAGGGACTCCTGGGCTTGATCTGAACACCGATTTCTCAATGATTTGATGGCTTCTATCGCTTCTTCAGCTCGATTCTGCTGTTTCATGACAATGGCCATGTCTTTCAGAGCACTATCCACTCTATCCCCGGCGTTAATAGCCGCCCAGAACAGTGGAATTGCCCTTTCAGGATCCTTATCTACCAACTGGTGCAAACCAAAACACAGAAAAAACCATCATGAACAAGTCCAATTACGAACAATACCCATCAATCTAAGAGGAGTTTACAAAGAAGTACGAGGCTAATTATGACAGAAGTTGTCTTTCAACCGATAAAAACAAAAAAGGACACCGGAAACAAATCCAATTACGAGGAATACCCATCAATCTGAAAAGGGCTTTACAGCAAATAACAAGGTTGAGTCAATTGTGCAAAGGTGATGAGACCCACAATAAATCTACCAACTAATAACAAAGTACAGAAGAAGCCACCGGAAACCTATCCAATTATTCATGAATACTGACCACTCTAAAAGGGATTAACTGCAAATAATGTGTTTAAATTGAAATAATTGTGAAATTTGATCAAACGCACAGTTTATCTATCAACTGATAAGCATAAAACCCGGGAAAAAAAATGAACCAAATCCAATTACGAAGAAGACGCACTAATCTAAGAAGGGTTTAAAGCAAATGACACGGTTAGATCGAGATAATTGTTGAATATAGACGCGACCTACACGTTTACCTGGACATTTTTGGCCCTAACATAGGGAGTATCCCCTACTGGGACTTTGTGGGTGATGTGGAAAGACTCGGAACGAGTTCTGGAGAGGCCGAGAGGCTTGGCGGGGGAAGAAGGCGCCGACTTTGTGGGTCGAAATCCGGGCGGACCATTCCACATCTCTTGCAACATCTTTTTCTAATTGTAATTTCAAAAATGGCGGAGGAGATGCTCAAGATATGTGGAACGAAGTTTGGTTATCTGCCGGCAGCAGTGGAGGGAGAAGACGACGATGGGGAAAGAGAGATAGAGAGAGAGAGAGGCAGAAGAGAGAGGAGAAATGGTTGAATTTAGCGAAGAACTGGATCTACAGTGTTTGAATTTTCCGACCGTTGCAGGTTACCGTTGTGCGAGTAGCCGTTAAGGCTCCGCTAATTTCCACGTAAGAGTATTTGCAATTTTTCGGCCCGCAAATTTAGCGTGACATGTGTTTTCCTCGTAACTCTTATGTTGATTTCTTATGATTATGAAAGAATTGGCTAAAGAGATTCAATTTTTTAAATATAAGATTTCCACTTATTTTTATTTAAATAAAAGGTGAGAGTAAGAAGAAGTGAGAGTGAAATAAGAAGTGGAAATATATTTTGTTTGCATATGTATATATCAATCTACCAAAATTATAAAATATTTATAAATTTCAACTAATAAATATCAATTCTTTTTGAAAATTATAAATAATTTACAAGGTAAAGGAGGTATTATCAAATAAGATTTTACCAACTTAATTTGTTTAAAACAACTGTTAGTATAAAAATAAAGTTACAAACTCATCAATTATTTTATAACAATGAAGAGAAATAGTGTTACATCTAAGACAATTACAATTATAACAATGGTAGTCAATAAGTAGAGAAGAAGAAAAATTATATAAATACAAATTGGCAGTGCTTTGCAATAATGTAAATAATGATTATAAGTAAAACTCTTAGTCATGTAATGATGGTAAAATGTGAGAAAGTGATGAATCATTGATAAAAATGACTATTGCACTGATATTTTGAAGAATATACTCAGTAACGAATTTACTCTAATAAGAACGGATTTGGGAATTCATGAATTAAAAATAGAGTGAAAAGAGAATAAAAGTTACAAACCTGATATGCATATAACTTTATAAGATGAGATGAGAGAGTTTTGAAATCTCAAAACTGATCTTATTATGTACTGATACATTAATATGATGCAAACCTTATCATATTTATAACTTTTGATATTTCAAATGAAATTAAGAAAAAATCAATGTAGTATTCGAGAAAGCAAATATCTCTAATAGAAACTCATCTTACTTAAAAATTATAATATATATATATATATATATATAGGAATTTGTATATTAACCAAGATACGAATTAATCAACAAAGAGCTCTTTTATCAGACTTATCTATGTTTAGTTCAAAAACATGATAATAATAAGATAATAAAACAAATGTAAAATACTAGTGGTGTAAAGGTGGTAAAAGTGGATTAAAAGACTAGTTTAGCAATCATAATGTTATGCTACTTAGAAGTAATTCCCTTAATTTTCCCTAGTAGTTTTGAAACATTATCCCTCTCGTGCATCTCCATGAATGTGAACCTTAGCTTGGTGGTAAACATTAAAACCTACAAGAAATATGTAAAATCCCGAGGGCCAAAGTAGAATTTGGAAAACTTGAGGAAAAAAAAATTTATGAAGGATCCAAACGTCTGTAACGTATAGACGTTCGGTCCTGAATCTTCAAAACGAAACTAAATAAAAGCGTTCCAAATTCATTCTGCTTCAAACGGAATTAAACAAAAGCGTTTCTAATTAAAAAAATTTATAAAAGCTGGATCGGCTTCGGTTTGACATCAAGGAAACTAGAAATTTTTCTGCAACTCGGAGCTTGAAATAAAAAAATTTGGGAAGTTCGATCGGCCTTCTTCCAACAGATCCGATTAGTTTTTTGCACAAATCAGTCATCTTGAATTGATTAAAAATCATCTTCATCGTCGTCCAACTGGTCCGAGCCTCGTCCAAGCTGTTGATTCCAGATTCAAGCTAAAAGCTTCAGGTATGTCTTGCTCCTGCAAGTTTTAGGCAAAGAAGAACTGACCCGATTCTTCCGGGTCAGTGCTGGTAAATGGGTTGGGCTGGCCTAGATGGTTCTGGGCCGGACAGAACTTAAGGGTCTGGACCATGGCCAATGGGCCAGGTCCAGATCAGAATTTAAAACTGGGTCACAGGACCGGGTCCTAATTTTGGATCCGGCCCGGCCCAAGAAATATTAGTAAATATTTAATAAATATAGAAAATTCCAGAAACAATAAATCGGCCGGTTCAGGCCCTTCCCGACTAGTTCTTGGCCGTTTCAAAGCACCAAAATATAGCTAATTAAATTACCTATGTGATGAGTGGCCGGTTCAAGACTAAACCAGCCAGTTCAATGGTGAACCGGCCGGTCCAAGATTAAATAAATTAATAGAAAATTAGAAAATACTGGTTTAACACATTGATGGCCGGTTCATGGCAAATATTAACTGGTTCAATAGTTTTAGGTCCGGTTCATTGACTCTTATGAATGGTTTAATGCATTTCAAGACCGGTTCAATGGGTTTAAGATCGGTTCAAGGGGTTTTATGGCAAAATTTAAGGGAAGTAAGGCTGGTTTATTGGTTTGGAGACCGGTTTAACGGGTTTCGGTCCCGGTTCAGTGGTTTTTCTCACTGGTTTATTAATATTATGCTCGGTTCATTGTGTAGAAGATCCGGTTTAGTAGGATTTTGATCGGTTCAGGACTTTAAAATTCCCGAAATAGCTTAAAATATAAAAATTAAGGAGATGGTTGAATTTTTAAGAATAATTTAGTTTTAAATTAAATTTGAGAAATACTACATTCTAAAATGAATATTCGATTATTTTTAGATTAATTGGTTGAATTTTGGGAAGCCGAACCGCCGAAGCTCGAATTGCGTGATTCTCGGTTTATGTGAGTAATATTATATATTTATGTTTAAAATGCTGTTTTACTTATTTAAATTTCCTGTTTTTACATAATTTAAAATTTATTTCAGTTATTATCCGGTGGAACTTAAATTGTTAGAAAAGTTACGAGGGACATATATGTCATTTTCTAATTTGTTAGAAAAACTTCTAAATTTCTGATTTCAAGTACTGGTACATGTTTAAGACTTTGAAAACTTGAAACTTTCTCTGATAAACTCTGATAAATAATTTTAAGGGAGTATCGTACTGTTAGAACACTGTAATTAATGACAGTAGGCGTTAGACTGGATGCATCCTAACCTGTATCCCCAGCTAGCAGGGGCAGTGCTAGACTATCACGTGTGGCTGACGTGGTCGGCCTATTTATTGATTACCGGCAGACTTTGAGTCGCTGTCCTGATATCTGTATATCGGCATATCATGAGTTGCCGTCCTGTTTCTGTTCAGTTCTCGTGTCGAACTCCCTAATTTGTAAAATTGTGAAAACTGTATTTTTAAGCTAAAATACCTGATATATGTCGCTCGTCATATAAATATGTACTATTATTCACTGGGTCAATAGACTCATTATTTTATTTTTCCAAACTCAGGTTTGACTTTATCGACAAATCCCGCATTGTGAGAGGAGTCGATCGATCCTGTTTTCTGCTTCGGTTCTCGAGCTTAGCAGTTAGTTTCTGTTTCTTTCAGTTGTATGGTTTTGTTATTCTAGTTGTTTAACTCTGAGATCACAGACAGGTTTTCAGTTGTAAAGACATGGTTTGATATTCGGTTGTATTTTAAATTTTTATTTAGAAATTTGATTTGCCGTACTAAATTTAATATCCAGAAGGCTTGCAGGGTTGGGATCCATTCCGACCCTAGCGCTGGTCACTGACTCGATAACCGGGTCGTGACAAAATATTTAACATGAGTTTGAAACATTATAAAACACATATAAAATAAGTGAATTAATGAAAAAAATATTTAAATTTAGACAAATATATCCTAAATATCGAATTTTGTAAACCTATATTGTCAAAATTAAATAAAAGTAAAATACAAGTTCCATTGTTGGATTGCTTTAGTATTAAATCTTTCAAAATATATTTATAGGCCAGCAAATTAACATTTCTAGGAAGAAATTATCAGTTGTGTGGATTACATTTATGCTTTGGAGTCGAGAAGGAATGCAATTGAAGTAAACTTGTATATTGTCGGAAAGCTAAGGATCCATACCTTAGGATGCTCTTGCACCTTGTTTGGTTAGATTATTTTGTTGATCAGTTGTATTTTGACGCAATTGACCTTTAATATTCAAATGGTTAGGTAAGAGCAAACTTTAGTAAAATTGAAGTTCAATTTTGACCATTTTAAATTGAGTGCAACACATTTTAGACATGCTATTTTAGATGATAAATAATGTATCAGATATTTTAACTCTCTAGTAAGAGTCCGAAATTGACTATATCAACAAAAGAAATTGATATGTAAATACATGTATTTTTTTTTTAAAAAAAGAGAAGGTTTGTCTTCTTTAATTCTGACTTGAAAATTGTCTCTAAAGAGGAAATGGGTTTGGAGAGAATATCTTGAAACTAAATGCACACATGCAATGTTCATAATTTTTTCAATGAGAATAAATCAATTAATATCACTATAAATATAAAATACTTATATGAAATTTTATACTATTGATTTGTTTAAATTTAACAAATGAGATTAATTACAACTATCTTTTATTATAGTAATTTACGATTATCTTTCTTTTCAAATATTAATTAACCTTATCTGTTAATTTTGATCAATTCAGTTATATACGATTTGGTGTAAGTATTTTTATAATTATATTGGTATTAATCCATCAATTCTTTTTTTTAAATATATGTTAATATTTTAAAAATAGACAAATAATTCATTACATGTGGGCCAACCTTGGGCCCATGGTGTGTTGGGTTTGACACTCTTCATGCCCACGGGCCCATCCACTCTTGTAAAGTTTAACTAATTCTCCAATTCTGACCAAAAAAAAAAAGAAAATTATCCAAGCAATTATTCTTGATAGGTTAAACATAAGTTAACTTAGGCAGGTGGTTTTAAAATGAAAAAAATACAGAAAAAGAAAATAATTTTACAAATTTAAATGATTCATCATCTTGGGTTTCTCCAATAGAAATTTATTACAGGAGAAACAAATAATGTAATTAATAAACTTATCCTTAAAATTTTAGTAGTCATAAATTGGGTCAGATTTGGAGAAATTTAAAATAATAATAACAAATAATTTAACAGTGGCATCCAAGTAATTTACCCAAAAAAGGGCTTCCATTATATTTGGATTTGACAAGAAAATGTAAATTAAGAAAAATTAAAATAAAAAACGAAATAAAAGAGATGGCAAAAAAACATGCACATTAAGAAAAATAATTTAAAAATGAAGAGCTTAGTTAGACCGGAAAGTCTGCTCTTGATCGGGGACCTACGGTTGCTCTCCGTCTCACCTACCGCCAATGTTCATCTCTTTCGTTGCTTCAGCCCAACAAGTACAATGCTGCTCTCAATCTCGCTGCTGAAGAGGACAGGTCCATTTCTCTCTTTACCCACATCTTCCTTTCCTCTCTCTTCTTAATCAAAGCCGGGCTCCCATGGCTTCTTCTTCCTCTCTCTGCCCCAGACAGCTCCCCACCCACCGCCCCTCTCTCTCCAAAATCGTCACTGCCGACCTCTTCCTCGGGTCGCGAAACCCAAATTTTATCTCCCTTCGGCGTTCTTCTTTCAATCCTAACAGTGCTTGTGCTTCAAATGCTGATCAACTGCGGTTGAGGTTTAGGGTTTCGGCTACTTCAGCAGCTCAGGTGATGGACCAGTCACCGAGGAAGACGAGCTCGGGCGTTCCAACTATCGTCGAGGTCGATCTGGGGACCCGGAGTTATCCGATCTATATCGGATCTGGCCTTCTTGATCAGCCTGATCTTCTCCAGAGGTATTCGGTTTGGGAGTTTTCCAATTCATTGCAGCCAGTTCTCTATTCAATTGCATAATTCTATCCGTCTGTCGACCTACATGTGCGCTTATGCTTGTATATGCGCGTATTTGAATGGAAATTTAACTGGTTTATGCTTGTACGCGAGGGTAAAATTTGTACAAGTCAATTTGAGGCTTTACCATGTAGCCTTAGGATTGGCGAACTATTGAATAGCTTTTATTTTTATAAGCGATGAGCAAGGTGAGGTTACCGAGGATTTAGTTAATACGGATGAAAGTGCCTTAGGATGGCGAACTATATTGAATAGCTTTTATTTGTATAAGCGATGAGCTAGGTGAGGTTGCCGAGGAATTAGTTTAATGCGAATGAAGGTCATATATCTGATAGCTGCTGCTCAATATATCTTGTTCGTCTGCAGGAACAAGTAAAAATGGAATGTCAACATCCATTGAGGGCTTTTAACAGGAGAAAGTAGTTGCCTTGTGGTTCCATAGCATGTTAAATAGACTTGAGATGACCTGGTTTTCCCAAAACACATAGATGATGGTTTCGCCTTCTTGACAAATTGACCATTGACATTTACAAATTCTTTCTGTAGAGCATTTATTGGCTTCTTTATTCAGCACGGAGGGCTTTTGGAGATAAAATGTTATTTTGAACAAAGAAGACATCAAATTTATATGGTCTGCCAATAGTGGTGAAGATCCTTCTTCATTTCATATGCATATCAGTAACTGTGAGCACAACTGAGAGATGGAAAACCTCTTGAGGGTGTAATATTCTAATGGAAGAAAGGACAGTGATGGATAGTCATCAACAATGAAGTGTGCAAAAAGCAAGTGCATGCCAATTGTGACTTTTGACCCATAGTCGTGACTTTTAACTTGCCAATTGTGATAATATGTGTTTGGTGGAAAAAGAAAGGAGGGAGGAGTTTTGCATGGAGAGAAGGGGCTGTCTTAGGTTCTCTTAGCCTTTTAGGCATTTGTTACATGAAAATGTAGTTCTGTGGGCATGGTGTGGTAAGATAAAAAACTGCATCAGCTTGATAAATTGTTTTTGTTTATAATTAACTATTAAATCTTCCGCATTATCTGACTGATTATTTTATAGTGTTGAGGACAATGTTTCTTAAATTTAAGGATTAAGTAAACAAACACCCTAAGTGAAGGTCGTTTCCTGACTTTCTTTTTTGCCCCTTTTTTGCTTGTTTAATATTTTGCTAATACAGTAAGTATGGATGCACCATTTTGTGAGACATATTCATGAGCGATACTCCATGGAAACATTCTCATGGAACATTTATCCTGCATTCCATCTGGCATGTCTCTCTCTGTTTATTTCCTTTTCTTGTTTTTAATTATACATGTGCACGTCCTAGTGTAGAGAAACACGCAACTTAGAATTTAGACATATGTATTAATATAAAATAGGATTCATCCAACATTAAATCTTTGTAAGAATAGTATGGAACAAAAACACACACATATATAGGCAATAACAAGTTGACATAATTGTTGTAAAATTTTTAATATTTAGCTTGAGAAATTTAATATTTGACACATTTAACTGATTCATGTTCTGTGCTCGTCATTGTCTTGTAGGCATGTTCATGGCAAGAGAGTTCTTGTGGTCACTAACACCACTATTGCACCATTTTACCTGGATAAAGTTGTCAGTGCTCTAACTGTCAGTAATCCTAATATTTCAGTTGAGAGTGTAATTTTACCAGACGGTGAAAAGTACAAGGACATGGTAAGTTTAATAAGATTATGTTTGCAAGACATTGACATCCAAAACTATTGGAGATGTGGGGATTATCAGAAGTGTAAATCTGATTATATTTTGCCAGGACACTCTCATGAAAGTCTTTGACAAGGCTATTGAGTCACGGTTGGATAGACGTTCTACATTTGTTGCCCTTGGTGGTGGTGTTATTGGTGACATGTGTGGATATGCTGCTGCCTCCTTTCTCCGAGGAGTTAATTTCATCCAGATTCCTACTACTGTTATGGCCCAGGTTAGTTGCAACTTGTAACACCTTTACACCTCTCCTGAATCATGCATTACTGTTTCCAAGCGCTATCTGACTGTTGATTTATTTTTTTCTTCAAGGTGGATTCCTCTGTTGGAGGCAAAACTGGCATAAACCACCGTCTTGGGAAAAAATTTGATTGGTGCATTTTATCAGCCTCAATGTGTGCTTGTAGATACTGACACGCTGAATACGTTGCCAGATAGAGAATTAGCATCAGGGCTTGCTGAGGTAATAAAATATGGGCTCATTCGAGATGCTGAATTTTTTGCTTGGCAAGAAAGGAACATGCAGGCATTAATGGCAAGGTGCATCACATCTTTATCTTTGTTGCCATATTCTTCTCAGATTACACAGATGCTCTGTGACAATGATTGATATTTTCATAATTGATAAGTTCCCATTGCAGAAATATATGCAAAAGGTCATGTTCTTTCATGGTTTACTATGGATTGCTGTGTGAAAACTGTAGAAACTTACATAGCTTACTCCTTTGCAGGGACCACCGATGCACTTGCTTATGCTATCAAGCGATCATGTGAGAACAAAGCTGAGGTTGTATCCTGGATGAGAAGGAAAGTGGACTGAGGGCAACATTAAACTTGGGTCACACTTTTGGCCATGTAAGTCTTGGGATTGGAGTTTGAACATGTTTATGCTGCTGCTGTTGCCGTTCTAATATTGGTTTACAGTTTTCCATAATGCCTGGAATTTAATGCAATCTTCATTATTGGGTTGCCATAACCGAGGACCTTCAGTCTAGTTTTGCTTAATATGGCCATCTTTCTCAGTGTAGCTCAAATGAAGTTCCGTATCATAAAAACAGTGGGCGGTAACTCATAAAATCTTTCCATAAACCACCCAATGGTAGAAATAAGTTATTTTTTGGGGATTATTTAGTCATTATGAAACTTTTTTATTTGTTTGAGCCATCCTTTTCTCATCACCTGGGATATGGTTTTGTTTACAGGCCATAGAAACTGGATTTGGATATGGGGTGGCTTCATGGAGAAGCTGTTAGCAGCTGGCATGGTAGAGTGTGCAGTGTTCATTGTTTTCTTTGTTCTCTCTTCTGGACAGGCATGCGTGCACACCCACGGAGTGTGTGTGTGTGTGTCTGTGTATGTGCGCGCGCGTGTGTTTTTTGAGGGATTGAAAGAGAGAGAGCTGTTTAACATGTACAATATTGATGTTGAAGGTGGTTGTCTTGCATTATTCAGGTCATGGCTGTTAACATGTCACACCGGCTTGGTTGATTGAAGAATCAATTGTGGAACGAGTTGATAGCATCTTAAAACAGGCTAAGCTACCTACTGCCCCTCCAGAAACAATGACAGTTGAGATGTTTAAGTCTATCATGGCGGTGAGAGACAGATGATAAGTCCTTGCAATATTCCTTAAGAAGCTTGAATTGTTTCTCTTGTTTCACACTGTTTCTTCCTCTGGGTGACAGGTGGACAAGAAGGTGGCTGATGGTTATTAAGACTCATCCTCTTGAAAGGTCCACTAGGGAATTGCGTTTTCAGTGGGGATTATGATAGAAAAGCCCTAGATGAAACACTCCATGCCTTTTGCAAGTCCTGAATGTCAAAGTGGCCAAAGATCCTAGCAACTTTCTAGCAAATCCTATAAATTATTTCGGCAATATAATTGGGTCTTTTGGGCTATTGTGATTCTAGCGGTAATTAAAGTTTATGACATGTTGTATTGTATCATTTGAACCATCCTAGTTGCTTGGTGTTGTCAAATGA